AAGTTTATTCTAGAACACATAGAGCCAGATTAGGGCCATAAAACTATCAAAGATTCTTTTTTTATGACGCAGAGCAGCAGCTTTGCTCCACAGACCAGTCAGATTATTAAACATGAATTGTTGTAACCATCCGCCATGTTGCTTTCATGTATCCCTGCAACATCTCCTCCATGCAGCGAGTCTGGAGATAAACGATGGTGTCTACTAACCAGGGGTGGAGCTAGATGGGGGGCCAGGGGTGGCCATCCTCAGCCAATCATTGGTCAGCTCTGTGGCCACTCCTACCAGTATTACTGGCAGCAGTAATACTCTAAAGTGGAATGTTTTAACTTATTTAACATTTAAATTTTTCATATGTTAACAGTTACTTCACAACAAAAACACTTTGGTTAATTATGCACATTAAAAGACAAACACTAAAGATGATAATGATCTTTTCAGAACTAGATTTTTATTTTATTTTATTCTCTCTGCAAGTCATCTAAGAGTCTTTAGTTAAATCAGAGGTAAATAACTACTTTAATAATAACTCATCAACTAATTAATGTAATGTAGCTATTAGTACATGTAGATATAAGTTTTATGCAGAACAATTGATGTTCACCCAGAACTCAAACCTGAAAGTATTTTCTACTTTTTACCTTTAATTTAAAAGCAAAGATGTTTAAATATCTGCGTCTGTTTGCTAGAAAAGTAGAGTTAGTCTTTATTTAGAGAATATGGATGTTGTTGTTGTTCCTGTTGGAACAGTGTAGACTGACCCTGAGGTCATCCGCCTTCACCCCCCCTCAGTGTACACCGGTTACTGGCCCCCCTTATTAAAGTTTTCTGGCTCCGCCTCTGCTGCTAACGTGTTTCCGTATGTTCAGTGATCCAGCAGATGCCTCCAGCATTGACTGTCTGTTGTCTCTGTTGCCGTAGTTGCTTAGGGAGGCTATTGACAAAACAAAGAAATGCTTCGCTATGAAGGAGCAGGAGCTGGCCATGAAGAAGAAGGTAAAGACCGTCTATAACCGGGTGTCTGTTTCTGTTCCCTTCTAACCAGTTACTGGTTCAGGCTGCTGAGTGGAAACTGCAGGCTAAGACTCTAAGAGAGCAGGCGACTGTCATGCAGGCACAGGTGAATATTCAGCCTCAGCACCTGGACAGGTAGCACGCACCTGATAGCAGACGCCTCCACTGGGTCCAACTCACCGTTTGCATGGAGCAGAAAACCTTCATGAAAACCGGTCTGGTTTAGTTCTAAAGCTCACTAAGAACCCAGGGAACCTTCTCAGCAGGTCAGGAACATGGCTGATCAGCTCCACAGGCCTGGAATGGCCACTAGAGGGCAGCAGATGCCCTATGGTGGAGTCACCCTCCTAATTGAAGGGTTAGAAACAGATGGTTCTGGTTGCTGAGGCTCCTGAACCTGAAGGTCTGAGTCAGACGGAAATAAGAACCAAGATGTCCGGTGACCAACGGGTCAGAACCGAGAAGCTGTTCTGATGATTCTTAGCTTTTGTTTCCACTAACAAAGATCTTAGAAGCTTTTAAATTCAGGGTGAGAACCTGCAGAACCTCCTCTGGCTTTGATCTCCATCAGCTTCTACAGACAGAGTTTCATTCATTCTTCTCATCAGAACATCTGCAGCTCAGACAGGGAAGAAGCTGAACTTCCATCCAGGTCTTCTGCTGCTGGGTTGGATTTAGCTCCGTCCCACAGCCTGATGCTGCCTCCACCGTGCATTGGGACACCCTAGAAGTCCAGTTGTTGTCCCGTCTGATCAGATCTTCTTCTTCCATTGAGGACAACTTTGTGCCTCAGTAGAAGAACAAACCCAGAATGGAGACTCAGAGCTTCAGCCCCGCTGCTCATCAGGTTCCACTGCAGCAGATCTGCTTCACATGATGATGATGATGATGATGAAGGAGAGAGTCTGTGGTGTTTCTGCATGACAGGAGAACCTGAAGGTTGGGCGGTGAGCTCCAGCGTTTCAGGTTCTCCGTGTGTGACGCCGTGTCGGCTGTTGGTCTGACTTCCTGTCCTCGCCGTCCTCAGCTGACCCTCTACGCTCAGAAGTTCGATGAGTTTCAAGCCACGCTGGCGAAGAGCAACGAAATCTACGTCCGCTTCAGAAAGGAGATGGACAACGTGAGTGGCGGCGATCCGTTCCTGGACCCGAACCTGCAGACGTTCATGATCCGGTTTTTATTCCGGGAAAAACGGAAAAGTTTAAACACTTTGATCTTCCTGCGTTTTCTCAGATGACAGAAAAGATGAAGAAGGTGGAGAAGGAGGCGAACCTGTGGAAGACTCGCTTCGAGAACTGCAACAAGACTCTGATTGACATGATTGAGGAGGTAGGTGGAGGAAACTGGACCGAACCAGTTTCATCCTGTCTGTACATGGAGCGTTCACTGTCCGTCCAAAACGTTCGAAAAAAGGTTTCTACCCAGAAGGTCCAACGAGTCGCTGACTTGGAGGACCTGATTAAAATAAAATGCAGCTCAGAAAAGCCACTGGGTCTTATTTTAACTTGAAAAGCAGCAGTTTCACAATTTTTTAAATAAATGTTTGTCATTATAGGTGTAAAAAATCTAAATTTTACATATTTGCTTCATAAATGTTTTGTGGTCATTAAAATGCTTCAGTGGTCAAATAGCAAAATAAAAACATTTGGCACCTTTGGAGACGCTGGTGACACCAAAGCTTCAAAGCCCCACAGCTCTGGAACTGTTGGAGCTGGAGGTCTGAAATGTTCGGCATTGGTGGCTGACATGATGTAGAACAAATGGAACACAATGAGACCTGCTGATTATCAAGCATCTTTATTACTGCTGCTCAAAAAAGACAGAAAAGCCAGAGCTTTGCTGTGGTCCATGAGTTGAATGTTGTTTAGATGCAGCCGTCCGCCTCATGTTCTGACTTTGGTCTTCCTGCAGAGAGCAGAGAAAGGCAGAGAGTACGACCTGTTCGTCCTGAAGATACAGAAGCTGGAGAAGCTGTGTCGTGCTCTGCAGGATGAGAGGAAAGGGCTCTATGACAAGATCAGAGATGTTCGCCAGTCCACTGCCAGCCTCCCATCCAAGTTCTCCGCTGCCACCGAGAACGTTCCAGAAGAAGATGGCATCCCAGATCTGGAGGGGCTCCAGGAGCTCCAAGAGGAGGACCCCGTCCTGCTGGAGAGCATCGCCCGTCTGAGGGAGGAGCAGGCCAAGCTGCAGGAGTTCGCTGCCTCCCTGTTGGCCGCGCCGGATGACGAGGAGCAGCGGGAGGACCAGGGGACGGAGGCTGAAGATGACCTGGTGGTCTCGGCCATTGCTCAGTTCCAGACTAAACCCGAGGCCAAACGAGACCCGGGTTCAGCTCCTGAATCTGGTTTTACACAAACCGCTAAAGAAGAGAAGGATCCAGACCCATCGGAGGCTTTGATGGAGGCTCCAGAACCAGAGGGAGCAAAACCAGAACCAGCAGACCCAGTAGTACCTGTGGAGGCGGGACAGGATGAGGCCCAGGTCCAGTTCAGAGAGGAGCAACAAGCCAAGCGAGACGAACACGTCCAACAGTCAGAACCAGCAGAGGTGGATCCAGAACCTGAAGAAGCCAAGGCATATCCAGAACCAAACGCACTGGAGGCGGATCAGGACGACACCAGTGAGGTGAAACCAGTGCTCCCAGTGGAGGCTGTGCAGGTCCAGGAGCAGCCTGTGAGTGGGTCAGAACTGGAACCTGAAAAGTCCGCTCAGCCTTCTGAAGCAGCTGGAGTCAAACCGCTCCAGAAGAAACGGAAGAAGAGGAACAGCAAGAGCACCAGCTAGACCTCAGAACCAGCGTGTCGGTGTCCCACTGCAGCGGGTCAGAACCAACTGCAGGAACCAGCTGGTTCCAGAGTGAAGATCTAACCAGACCCACAGGAGGAGACGCCTCTCTAGCATCTATGTTTGCTTCATGTTTACAGGATCTGCTGCTGGTTTCCATAGCAACTTCTATCAATAAAGTCTTTTGGATGAACTTTGAGATGTTTGTGTTTCTTAGTAATCTGACCTCCAAACCTCTGAAGGTCACCTGATGTTTCTGGCTCCACAGCAGGAGGTCCTGGGAGTTGGAGCGAAGCCTCCTCAGACGGGCCTGGGTTCTCCAGGACCCGATCCAGACCAGGTTCTGGAAGGATGGATGGGCAGTGCAGGGGATGGGTGATGCACCCTGCAGTTCAACCAAACAGCCACCAGATGGAGACAAAGCAGCTCAGATCATATAGAGGAAGCCCTGTGAAGCTGAGAATCTATTTCCTTTTTACTCAAAGCAGAATTTAAACCTGAATCAAAACTTTTTTTATTTTTTAATATTATTCTGCAGAGTTTTAGAAATAATCTACATCTCTTTAATCTGAGTGTCTTTTTCTTTTTTTCCTTCAAACCAAAGAATGTTCTGTCAATTTCCACAATAATTCAAATGTTTCTGCTGATGATGGAAAATCACTCATAGAAACAAAATTCAACCCAAAGCCTTTAAAAAAGGTCCGAAGCTTCGACCTGCTGCTCCCGGATTAAAGAGGTGAAATGACTTCATGATGCTGGAGGACCAGACTGCAGCTCCTTTGAAGCAAAGCGGAGCTGAAGAGCTGCAGGTAGAAACACTGAAACACGCCTGCATATCTGCAGGAAACACTCGCCACCTTCCTGCATGTGTGGGTGTTTGAAAGCTGCTGACAGGCAGCGAGACGGAGGATGTGCACCAGTTTAATCCACTCAGGAGTGTCTTGGTTTCACAAGCGACACCTGAAAGAAGAACAGAACCAAGACTGAGAGGGCTGCTGCTCTAGCTCCTCCAGCTGCTCCTCCAGCTGCTCCTCCAGCTGCTCCTCCAGCTGCTGCTCCAGCTGCTGCTCCTCCAGCTGCTGCTCCTCCAGCTGCTGCTCCAGCTGCTGCTCCTCCACTGTCAGCAGGAACAGCCAATAAAGGTGGAAACTGATGATAAAGGCATCAAACAGAGAAGCAGGGAAAAAAGGGAAGCTGGAAGAAGATGAAGGAGGAGGAGAGACAGTGGACCGGCAGCACCGGACAGAACCAGAACAAACCAATGAGACAAAAACTGGAAATAAAGAAGAGAAACCAGGAAGAGGTCCCTGATTGGTCCAGTTCAGGAAAACCAGACGGAACCAGCTGCATCCCCCAGAAGGATGAGGAGCCCAGCAGGCAGGATTTTATCACTGAGGTTCTGATCGAAGGGCACTGACTTCCTCATAAATCTACCAGCTGCACCAGGAGTTTTCATGGAAAGTTCAGTGGAAGGAAAAAGTGTGGCAGTAATTAGTGGACAAACGGCAGAGATGATCGCAGTGCTGTGAAAGTTTACTAGAAGATTAAGAATATATTAAATAACTTGAACTGGAGATTATATTTAATGAATAGGTCGTTCAAATCAAAGATAAAAGCAATTCATTATTATCAGTTAAACGATTATAACTGTAATTCACTTAATGACCAGGGTTCTTAGTCTCTAACATAAAAGTTTGGACTCCTGAATCCGGCTGTTTAAAATCCAGCTGCTTTTTACCTATTTAGTAAATTAGGCCGTTGCTATCAGCAGTTATTAATCACCAACCAAACTAATGTCTCTGTTCATTCAGATGCTTCTGAAGGACGAGTGAATCCAGTGATGAATCGTTCACTGGTAAAATGAACACAAAAAACCACAAGTTAAAAACACAATGGTACCTTTATTAGCTACAATCACACAGTATTATATCTAATAAGTAAGCAAAACACTAAACACTACTGAAAATAAGCACAAATAAATAAATAAAAGGAGAAGAGGGGTTTAAACGTCTGTTTAAAGTCTGAGGAATGTTCAAGTTTTAAGGTTTAATGCATTAAAAGTGTCCTTTAAAATAGCAGCAGATAAATGTGAATAAACCGACACAGAGATGTTGATCCAGACAAACATTGAAGTTTCATTCAGTTTATGGTGAAAAATGAATAATGACTCAGGATTAAACTACGATGAGGCTGAAGCTCAAGTGCTTCCTGACCTCCATGATTAGCCTCACTGATGCTAAAGGACAGAACCGGGACACTCTGGTCAGCAGCTTCATTGTTCTGACGGTACAATCAAATTTTAGAGGAAAAAATTAACAAAGTTTAGAGAAATAAAACTCAAATGATTCAGTTTGGAAGGAGATCATCCACCTGTGGTTAAAGCCCCCCTGCAGGGGGCGCCACTGGCCTGATTCTGTGAGGAAACCTAAACCCAGAGAACTGGGTTCTGGATCAGAACCATAAACCTGCTCAGGTTCTGTTGTCCTGAAGGCAAACAAACAGGAAATGAGATTCTATGTTTCTGTTATCATTCTGCTCACAGTGATGGAAACTGATAGTTTTATTTCTATGTTCTGTTTGATTCTGTAGAACGCTGCCGGGTCTGAAGCTCATCGGAACGTCACCTTCATTTTTCACTAACAGCTCACAACGTAAACACTAGTGAACATTTCTGCAGAAGTCATGATGAGTGTGACTCTGAACCACAGCAGGACTGCAGCTTCTCACTGCTGCCTTTGTTTGGAAACATGCTGCGAAAGTTCTGACCCAGAATATCTGCAGGAGTGGATCAGGCAGAACCTGGTTCTTCTTCAGAGGTTCTGCTCAAACAGCTGCAGAACACGACCCGGGCTTTGGAGGTCTGGGTCCAGATGTTCCACACAGAACCTTCTTTCAGCTCAGCTTTCTGACAACAAACTGGTTTTTCTCCAGAACGTTTTGTTCAGCGAGCAGAAAATGAGCAGAAAGGTGCTGAAACGATTCAGGACCTTCATTCTGCTGCCATCACTGATAAATGTTCTGGTTCTGGTTCTGGTTCTGGTTCTGGTTCTACTGAGGCTCACCGCACAGATTATCCCCGGAAACATTTAATGGATCTAAGAGTCCAGAACCTTTTAATCATCACACTTCCTGCGGTTCTTATGATGTTTCATCTGAAGCAGTGACTCTCAGATCCAGATTTGTATTTAATTTTAGATCAGGAAACTGAACTGGGCTTTTCATTGAGAACATCTGGAAACATCAGCACAGAATGGACTCTGAATGAAGCTCCAGCTGGATCTGCAGACCCACATCCTGTAGGAAACCTGCAGAGGATCAGAACCTGAACTCTGGTTCTCAGTAGTTAGATGTTACCCTAACATCCCTCCACACCAGTACCAGATTGCTCCAAACCAGCAGATCATGGTGGTAAACAGAGGGTCACATGACTCCTGGCTCTGCGTCATCAGAGCAGCCTGAAGGTTTAATGGTTGGCTTTTACTCTGTTTTTAATCTTTTGGTCTTTTAACCTTTGTTTTAATTTTCCCTTTTTGAAATGTAGCACTTTGAGATTTGAATTCAAATGTAAAGTAAGTTACAAATAAAATTCATTATTATTATTATTATTATTATTATTATTGAAGGTTCAATAATCTGGATTTAATTCTCAGCCTCCAACAAACTGCAAAGAGAGCAGAGAGAGTCAGCTGACCCAGCAGCTCTGCAGGGAAACTGTGGATTCAGGCAGAGTGGCGGCTCTGAACCTTCCTACTGAATCCCTGGTGATTCACTGAATCA